TTACAGGCTGGTCATTGTAAGTATTGCCATGGGTGTGTCAGACTGGTCACTGTAAGTGTTGCCATGGGTGTGTCAGACTGGTCATTGTAAGTGTTGCCATGCCGGGTGTTACAGACTGGTCATTGTAAGTGTTGCCATGGGTGTTACAGACTGGTCATTGTAAGTATTGCCATGCCGGGTGTTACAGACTGGTCATTGTAAGTGTTGCCATGGGTGTTACAGACTGGTCATTGTAAGTATTGCCATGCCGGGTGTTACAGACTGCTGGTCATTGTAAGTATTGCCATGGGTGTGTCAGACTGGTCATTGTAAGTGTTGCCATGCCGGGTGTTACAGACTGCTGGTCATTGTAAGTATTGCCATGCCGGGTGTTACAGACTGGTCATTGTAAGTGTTGCCATGGGTGTTACAGACTAGTCATTGTAAGTGATGCCATGGGTGTGTCAGACTAGTAATTGTAAGTGTTGCCGTTGGTGTTACAGGCTGGTCATTGTAAGTATTGCCATGGGTGTGTCAGACTGGTCACTGTAAGTGTTGCCATGGGTGTGACAGACTGGTCATTATAAGTGTTGCCATGCCGGGTGTTACAGACTGCTGGTCATTGTAAGTGTTGCCATGGGTGTTACAGACTGCTGGTCATTGTAAGTGTTGCCATGGGTGTTACAGACTGGTCATTGTAAGTATTGCCATGGGTGTGTCAGACTGGTCATTGTAAGTATTGCCATGCCGGGTGTTACAGACTGGTCATTGTAAGTGTTGCCATGGGTGTGTCAGACTAGTAATTGTAAGTGTTGCCGTTGGTGTTACAGGCTGGTCATTGTAAGTATTGCCATGGGTGTGTCAGACTGGTCACTGTAAGTGTTGCCATGGGTGTGACAGACTGGTCATTATAAGTGTTGCCATGCCGGGTGTTACAGACTGCTGGTCATTGTAAGTGTTGCCATGGGTGTTACAGACTGCTGGTCACTGTAAGTGTTGCCATGGGTGTTACAGGCTGGTCATTGTAAGTGTTGCCATGGGTGTGTCAGACTGGTCATTGTAAGTATTGCCATGCCGGGTGTTACAGACTGGTCATTGTAAGTGTTGCCATGGGTGTTACAGGCTGGTTATTGTAAGTGTTGCCGTGGGTGTTACAGGCTGGTTATTGAAAGTGTTGCCGTGGGTGTTACAGGCTGGTCACTGTAAGTGTTGCCATGGGTGTGTCAGACTGGTCATTGTAAGTGTTGCCATGGGTGTGTCAGACTGGTCATTGTAAGTGTTGCCATGCCGGGTGTTACAGACTGGTTATTGTAAGTGTTGCCATGGGTGTGTCAGACTGGTCACTGTAAGTGTTGCCATGGGTGTGACAGACTGGTCATTATAAGTGTTGCCATGCCAGGTGTTACAGACTGCTGGTCATTGTAAGTGTTGCCATGGGTGTTACAGACTGCTGGTCACTGTAAGTGTTGCCATGGGTGTTACAGACTGGTCATTGTAAGTGTTGCCATGGGTGTGTCAGACTGGTCACTGTAAGTGTTGCCATGGGTGTGACAGACTGGTCATTGTAAGTGTTGCCATGCCGGGTGTTACAGACTGCTGGTAATTGTAAGTCTTGCCATGGGTGTTACAGACTGCTGGTAATTGTAAGTATTGCCATGGGTGTTACAGACAAGTCATTGTAAGTGTTGCCATGGGTGTTACAGACTGGTCATTGTAAGTGTTGCCATGGGTGTTACAGACTGGTCATTGTAAGTATTGCCATGGGTGTTGCACACTGGTCATTGTAAGTGTTGCCATGGGTTTTACAGGCTGGTCATTGTAAGTGTTGTCGTGGGTGTTACAAGCTGGTCATTGTAAGTGTTGCCATGCCAGGTGTTACAGGCGGGTCATTGTAAGTATTGCCATGGGTGTTACAGACTGGTCATTGTAAGTGTTGCCATGGGTGTTACAGGCTGGTCATTGTAAGTGTTGCCATGGGTGTTACAGGCTGGTTATTGTAAGTGTTGCCATGGGTGTTGCACACTGGTCATTGTAAGTGTTGCCATGGGTGTTTCACTCTGGTCATTGTAAGTGTTGCCCACTGGTCATTGTAAGTGTTGCCATGGCTGTTACAGGCTGGTTATTGTAAGTGTTGCCGTGGGTGTTACAGGCTGGTTATTGAAAGTGTTGCCATGGGTGTTACAGGCTGGTTATTGTAAGTGTTGCCATGGGTGTTACAGGCTGGTCATTGTAAGTGTTGCCATGGGTGTTACAGGCTGGTTATTGTAAGTGATGCCATGGGTGTTGCACACTGGTCATTGTAAGTGTTGCCCACTGGTCATTGTAAGTGTTGCCATGGCTGTTACAGGCTGGTTATTGTAAGTGTTGCCATGGGTGTTACAGGCTGGTCATTGTAAGTGTTGCCATGGGTGTTACAGGCTGGTTATTGTAAGTGATGCCATGGGTGTTGCACACTGGTCATTGTAAGTGTTGCCCACTGGTCATTGTAAGTGTTGCCATGGGTGTTACAGGCTGGTTATTGTAAGTGTTGCCGTGGGTGTTACAGGCTGGTTATTGAAAGTGTTGCCATGGGTGTTACAGGCTGGTTATTGTAAGTGTTGCCATGGGTGTTGCACACTGGTCATTGTAAGTGTTGCCATGGGTTTTACAGGCTGGTTATTATCAGTGATGCCATGGGTGTTGCACACTGGTCATTGTAAATGTTGCTATGGGTTTTACAGGCTGGTTATTGTAAGTGTTGCCGTGGGTGTTACAGGCTGGTTATTATCAGTGATGCCATGGGTGTTGCACACTGGTCATTGTAAATGTTGCTATGGGTTTTACAGGCTGGTTATTGTAAGTGTTGCCATGGGTGTTACAGGCTGGTTATTGTAAGTGTTGCCGTTGGTGTTACAGACTTGTCATTATAAGTGTTGCCATGGGTGTTAAAGACTGGTCATTATAATGTTTTATATCCACATACAGTGTATTTGAAAACCAT